TAATTCGGTTTGTGGATTATTATAACAGTTTTTTAACTTGGTGTTCTCAACAATAATCAAAGATGAGTGTCCAATATGTGATGAGATTTATGTAAGAAACCCCACTTGGACTATTAGGAAAAACATATACAGGAGGTATATTCCTATATTCAGAAGTTCATTATATTGATCTATTATCAGAAAAAATCTCACTTGAAAGAAATCACATCATCCAAACAAACGGATACAAAAGTCATTATTTTGTAAGATGCTGATTTTCTTCGCCATCCATCTTTACAATAACAGGTCGATGAGATTTGAGAGTAAGGAATATATATATATGTATATATATATATATATATATATATGTTTTGGTTCAAATAAGAACATGATCTTAGAAGAGAAATGAGAACGAATCTTGACCGTTAGATTTGCTTTAAGTGAAATTCAATGTGCATTACATGAAACTATAATGTGCATTAGTTGAAATTGAAATGTGCAACACAAAGCATACGATACAATGTCATTATATGAAGCTGAATTATGCATTAGGTAAAATTGAAATGTGCACTAGGTGAAACTGAAATGTGCAGAATAAAAAGTACAATGTGATGTTATTTTTGTACATTTTATTCCGCACACTTCAGTTTCACCTAATGCACAATTGAGTTTAAATAATTATTCTGCACATTTCAGTACCATCTAATACACATTTCAGTTTCATCAAATGCACAATTCCGTTCCACATAATACAATCCAACGGTCCAGATTCGTTCTTATTTCTCTCCTGGGAGTCCGTTCTTATAGGGGATGGTTCAAATAAAAAGAGGTCTTAACGTGCAAAGTGAAAAGTTTACACTTTTTCATGTTTCGCTTGCACTTTTTCTTGCTTTTGTTGCACTTTTTCACGGTAGCTCAAAAAAATGGTTTATTTACAAAACTGCCACCTTCATTTTGGCCGAATTTGGCTAAAATCAAAATGGCCAAAAAGTGCAACGCAAACAACAAAAAGTGCAAGCGAACCATGAAAAAGTGAAAACTTTGCACTTTGCACGGGAAGACCACTTTTAAAGCAGAAGCAGAAGCAGAATCAGTTTTCAGAAGCTCGTACCCCCCAGCTTCTAAAAGAACTGATTTTAGGAGTAAATTAGAGCACCATAATCACTTCTACATTTTCACCCAAACACTCCAACTTCTGCTTCTGCTCCCTGAAGGAGCAGAAGCAGTTTTAAGAATCGGATCCAAACACCCCCATATTAGTAAACAATGTGAGTACTGAGTATAATTACCTAGTAATCATGTGATATTTGCTTGCAAGTACAATTGATTCTCTCTAAATTTAGACTCCTCTTTGACATGTGTAGATTACTTCTATGATGGCCGTGTATTCTGCAGGTTCTTAGGCAAGGTGATATTTCAATGTATTTGATCCTTGTTTTGAGTTTGTTGCCATTAAAATTCTCTTATTCCCTTCAAGGGGTATTGGCAGTACTCAGCCCTCCATTCGTGTGCTTTTCATATACTCTCTCCGTCCCGTTGGAATGTTCCTGGTTTGACCTACACACATATTAAGGAAATAAACTTACCAGGGGGTAAATTTTACTGTTTTGACACTGTTTCGACATTGTTTGGCACTGTTTGACACTGTTTTGCATTGTTTGATCCTGTTTTGATGTAGGATAACTTTCCATTTAGGGAAATGAGAACTTTCCAACGTGACATCCAAAAAAGGAAAGCGGGAACATTCCAACGGGACGGAGGGAGTATATTTTTACCAAATGAAATTCAGTTTTATGTATAGTATGTGTGTGATAATTTCCTTCAACTCGTTTTGTAGACGAGTAGGCTTCATTCATACATAGTACTCCCTCCGTCCCAAAATGATGATCCTGTATTTCCTTTTTGGGATGTCCCAAAATGATGGTCATGTTTCCCTTTTTGGAAAGAAAGATGTGGTCCATATCATTTCACTTTATTATATTCAAATCTGAACCACAACTTTTACCTTGCTATTATAATAGACGTGGTCCCAATTTCGCTTACAGGGGTAATATTATAACTTATAGTATTTGTCCTAAGTAGGACTAAAACATAATGAAAATTCACTAATAGGGCCTTAAGCTTTTTATTTCTTAAATAGGACTATATTAGTCCTATGTAGAAACATAATAAAATTCCATACCATTAATACCCTTCTTCTAATTAATCCCTAAATTCCTAACTTTTCCATCTCATTTCTCTCTCCTGGCAAGATCGATGGTTTTCTCCCTACGTCAAAAATCGATCGACATCTCCCTCTGCAGCTTCTCCATGTGCATCGCAGCCATCTCCGCCACTAACTCTGCCGCCTCACGCCGCCGCCGTCACTACCAACTTCACCACGCCCCATCGCAGGTTTCATCTTCTTCTTCTTCTCCTCTTCCTCTTCTTCTTCTTCTTCCCCGATCTACTTCTCCACCCTCTTCTCTTCCTCCTTCTCCTATTCCTCTATTTTAATGAGATTAGACATTGATTTTTATGATCTTCCTCATATTCTCACGTTTCTCTGGAATTTGGCATTGATTTTGTCAATTTTTTGGAATTCTGTTTTGTATTTTCTAATTTTTGGTTTTTGATTTCTTAGTTTTTTTTAAGTTCCGATTTTCCAAAAGTTTGGATGATGGTTTCAGATTCTGCCAAGTTTATGGCAGAAATATTTACACAGACCATCGCATTATGGCAGAAACGCTTTTGTGTAAATCGATTTCTCTAAAAAAATCAATAACTTCTTATTTTTATTTTTTGATTGAGTTAAAGTGCTTATTTCATTTTTTTAGTGTTTGAATATATTTTTTTGAAGATTAGTTTTTGAATATTTAGTTATTTACTTCATTTTTTTGCCAAATTTATGACATTTTTGCGTTAAACTTCCAACATAAATCTGTCAACTTTATGGCAGATATGAAAAACCTTGTTCTTGGCAGATTCCAAATACTCTTCAAAGCTAAACCTACCAACCTAATGGCAGATGTATGGCATCAAGGTTGTGATGACGGGGCTGTGCTTGGAGGTGGAGCGACAGCGCACCAGAGATGGTAGAGGATGGTGATGGCGACAGGTTTCAGCTCTGGTTGGGCAACACCACCCGGCGGCGATGGATGGTGACACTGGCGAGGAGGCGGTGCGGGTGAGGTGCATCGACAGACTATTCCGGCAAGGGCGCCACCGGTGATGGCGGCGGCAGGTTGGGGCAGGGGAAATGGTGTGACAGCAGCGACAGTCTTACTGCTATGTTGAAATATTTAGGGTTTCTTCAATTTCTATTTTACTTTTAAATTATAAATTCAAAAAAAGTTTCATTAAGGGCATTTTTGTACAAGTAGGTGATTTTAAGTCCTATGAAACATAGTTTCAAATGAAGTCCTATTTGAGCAATTATCTTCTATTTTAGTCCCATTTAGGGAATTCACTCTATAACTTACTACGTATTTAGCTATTAGCATCAATTGCTTAATGTTATCGTCAACCAACTTTAAAATTAGTAAATTACCATTCGATTTGGGACAAAGAAAGCATAATTTCATCTAAAGTGCGTAAACTACTACTGCAATGAATAGATAAATTAAAAGTAGATGATTAGATAATACGAGTAAAAAATCATGGTATGTATCTTTTTTCGCGAAACAAATCAGTGATTGCCGTTGCTTTGAAGCAGTCGTCTCCCTAGCAATTAGGGTTGGATGTGCGCAGCTTTGCGTCTTTCTTCGGCGTCTTCCTCTCCGGCTTTGAGGACCCTGCCTCGGTGGATTTCGCTTTCCGGTGCTTTTGTTTTCTTTTCATTCGCAGGTTGAGCCCTCTGCTTCGGTTCATGGGTATCAACAGGGAAGTGAAGGTTGCTGGTACGTCGGGTGTGGCACCTGTGAGGCTGTGACGCAGGTATGATCGACCGCGGGAAGACATAGGCTCGGGTTTGTGATATCACGATGCTCAAAGGTGGTGAGGGCTACCTGATACGGGACGAGGAGGTTGCGGGCGAAGAAGAGGCTCCGAACAGGAGTGTACGGGTGAAAGAAGACGAAGAGATGTTGATCCGTCCCCCTCCCGAACCGCCGCCGTCATGGAGGAATTGTGTGTCTAGGGTTTGGATGACTATTTCCATTTCTGTTTTATTTTGTTTGTGTTTTTACTTTGAACTACATGTTGTTTGGTTTGTCATGTACGCTTTCTTTTGACAGACTCTTGCATTAGGTTGGGGCGATGAGGGGTTTACTTTAACCACGTTAGGCTCAATTAAACTCAAACAGGATATGATCAGCGAGCCATATTTCTTTTTTTTGGGTGATTGGCTCTAAGTCTGGTTCGATGGTTGATGGTTGGAAGTGTTCCTTTTATCTTCTTGTTCCCTTGGTGAATGCTTTGATATCAATTTAAGCCGCCTTGGTAAAAAAAATCGTGGTATGTTACACTTGGGTTTAATCCACCAACCCCCTTCGTGAAATATAAATTCGGCGCATAGCCCCTTGTGATTTATAAAATACGTAACCCCCCTGTTATCATTAATCATGCGCCAAACCTCCTCCAAGAACAAATTTAATTTCATAAAAGATGAAAAATGATTTTTTTTTGTGTAATTTAGAAATTTTGACAAAGTTACTTGCATATTCAATTATATTATTAAAAACGTGATTTCAAAATTGTAAAATTTGTTCTTGAAAGGGATTTTGCGCATGATTAATTAAAACATAGAAGGGTTTGATGCATTTTTTAAATCACATGAGGTTAATGCGCCAAATTTATATTTCACGAGAGGGTTTGATGCATTTTTTAAATCACATAGAAGGGTTTGATGCATTTTTTAAACCAAAAAACATAGAAGGGTTTGATGTATTTAACCCTGTTACACTTTGAATGCAAATTGATAGATTATGTGCCCAAACATATAGTGAAGTCATATTCCAAACACTAACATAAGTTGAACCAGATATTATCATATTACTACACTCCATACTATATTCAACTTCATATGGCCAACAATATAAATTTAACTAGTTGGGCATCAATTGTACTGGATACTTATGGATACAATCTTCCCATGGACTGTTTGGAGAAGGCTTCACATTCCTCAGAGCTTTCCAAACAGCACTGTTGCACTTGAACCCACTCCCAAACGCGATCTGCCATATCCGGTTTCCCTTTCCGATCCTCCCCTTGGCCTCCGTGTATGCCAGCTCGTACCAGACGGAGCTCGACGACGTGTTGCCGAACCGGTGCAGCGTCATCCTCGATGCCTCCACGTGCACCGGAGAAAGCTGCAGGTTCTTCTCCAGCTCGTTGATCACCGCCCTCCCGCCGGCGTGAATGCACACGTGCTCAAATGCCAGCTTGAAGTCCGGGATGTACGGCTTGACTCTGCCGTTCTTGAAAACCTTTCTGGCGATGAGGGTTGCAAAGAACAGAGCTTGTTCGCTGATCGGAAGCACCAGCGGCCCCAGGGTTGTGATATTCGTCTTCAGGGCTCCGCCGGCGATTCTCATCAGGTCTTTTGACAGTGACACCCCTGTTTTCCCGGCGGCGTCCTGTTCCTGGTAAACGCACCGGAATGCGGTGTCTTCCGCCCCCTTTTGCGTCCGGACTACATGGAGGAGCTCATACTTCGCTCTCTTCTTGTCCGCCGCCTTGTTGGATAGCAAAACGGCGGCCCCGCCGACGCGGAAAAGACAGTTGGGGATCAACATAGATTTCTTGTTCCCGAAGTACCAATTCTGGGTTATGTTTTCCGTGCTGAAGACGACGGCGTACGTGTTCCGGTGAATCCGTAACATGTCTTTCGCAAGATCGACGGCGATGACTCCGGCGCTGCACCCCATTCCTCCCAGATTGAAGTTCCGGACGTTCCCTCTGAGCTTGTACTTTTTCACAATCATGGCGGAAAGCGACGGGGTGGGATTGAACAGGCTACAATTCACAACTAGAATACCGATTTCTTTGGGGTTGAGCTTAGTGTTCTTGAATAAGTTATCCAGACAACCAAACATGACCTGTTCTGCTTCAGCCCGAGCAGAGTCCATGTTAATGGCGGGCGGGACGCTATGCACAGCCTCCGGGAGACAAGTTTCCTCCCCAAGACCGGATCTTTCCAGAATCTTCCGCTGGAAATCGAGTGACGGGTCGTCGAAATCTCCGGTCAGCCGGGAATTATTCATGAACTTTGCGTAGGACACCCGGAGGTGATCCGGCGGGCGGTAGCAGGAGTAATCCACGAGAAAAACGGGTCTGGGTCGGGTCATGATGTAAAAGGTTAATCCCAATACCAGGAAAGAGGAGAGGACGGTGACGGCGGCGAGGTTGCAGAGGAGATGCCGGTAAATGCGGAGCAAATCTTGGTAGTCCGTCTGGATGACTGTGACGGCGATGAGAGGGACTAAACAGAGTGTTAGAAGGTGTGACATTAGGTAATGGTAACCCAATTTCACGTACTTGAGATTAACGCTCTGAAGAAAATCCGGGAGCCTCCGGGCTTGATTGATCTGGATCACGGCGGGTGCGCCGCCGCCAGAGATGTTACTAACGGTGGCGTGGCTGTCCATTATTGTTTTTGGGGGTTGAAAATGTATGTATAATATGTATAATATATCTATATCGATAAGCTTTATAGATATATACTCCGTATATGTGTGTGTGAAACGGGAGTGAGGAGGCGAGATGGCCTTGCGCAGGTGATTATGTATGCATTCACTTTGACTTTCATTCAAATAGGTTGGAAGGAGATAAATTGCGAACATACTCTCTTTCGTATAGATAGATTATTTTATTTTATTATTTTAAATTAAGATATAAACATTAGGAAAAAACACAAAATGGTATTCCACTTTTGGTCATTCATGTATCGCACCAAATTCATAATTGGTCCATGTGTTTGGCTTTGACCACTTTTGGTACAATGACTATTGTGTTTTTTATTCATATATGGTCCTTTCGGCAATGTTTTTGATGGTTAAAATCCCCAGAAAAGGACCACAGGTGGTCAAGAAAAATTAGTTAAGTATCAAAAGTGGACAAAATGAAAGAGACGAACTAAATGTGAATTTGACACAAAACTCATACGACTAAAAATGGAATTTATTCAAAACACAATATCCTATTAAACTCATAGTTAAATGTTTGGGATTTTGGTGATGATTTTAGAGAATTATTAAACCTAGTGATCTTAATTTTCTTCTCATTTTACAAATATAATGTTTATTGAATATGAGCATAGCTCATTTTGTAATACTAATGTGTCCACGGTCCTTTAGAATATCACATACATACTCTCATTTAAAGAGTAGGAAAACCACTTGAACAACTCACTTTAAAGTTTATTGGATGTGTTGTGTATGGGTTAGACATGGTTCTAACTTCTAATGGCTTAATCAATACCAACCTCCTACATTTTCATTTAGAAATTCAAACCTTTAAATGTAAAAAAATGAGATACAAATCAAATATTTAATTTATCTCCAATTCTAGACTATCAATAAATTCAGCGAAGATGACAATACGTACAACACATCTGTCAATTCGGGGTGACATTTACAATCTCAAAAACATGAGTCTGATATTTCAATATGATGACTAATTGAGTGATCCAAATGCAAATTTTCCCTTTCAAATAATGATGTGCAAAGTCTAATGTCTATATAAACGTGAAGTACAAACTTAGAGTATTTCTTATAAATCACTGCTTATAATAACTTGAACAATACCCTCATTCAACTAACGATAAATTAATGATTGTGTAGTCATTAAATCATTTAAATGTAATTGATTGCCACTGCCAACCACCATATGTTTCCCTCGATTATCATCATCATTGATATCGCCATATATGACCACCGTCGTTACAGAGAGACCGTTAGATGAAAAACATGATACAAAAGTCACTAAAAAGAGACTAAAATTGTTACTCCCTACAATCACGCGTTGCAACTATTAGTTAGTCAATCACTGTTTGTAAATTATGAGTAATCATATGGGTGCATTATGTTTATATTGTAGTTTATTTGTTCACATTTAACCGTTGTGGAAAATATTTCAACACTCCCTCTCACGATAACATACTTCCTTTATCGTTTTGTAATTAAATTTGTTCATAATCGTCATCATTTTTCATACGGGGATCCACATCATAGTTATGAATTAATTTAGCTCTGATACCACGTTAAATGTAGAGACTTCATCCTGAAACGCCAATCAATAGAAGAACTAGCCCAAGTATCTGCCTCCAAGTTTTCTGCTACATATATCCTCTTAACTAGTCTCTCTATTGACCCCGATAGGCTCCACGATGTTAGTTCTTCAAACTTATTGAGTCTGTAGTTAAGCTGTTTGGTTTTACACACCTCAAGCTCATTATTCTCTATCGAGTTTAAATCTAGATTCTCATTATTTGTGTGTGTTTATTTATATTGATGTTTACTTATTGGAGGAAATCATTTGCAATTAATTAGTAATTACTAAACTTAAAAACATCTCACAATTTGTTTTTCCTATTAAAAACAACTCTAAAGAGGATCTCATACTACCCAATGTTATAATACATTTATTACTCAAACCTTATTTCTTCTACACGGTTCATCTACGGATTTCTCCTTTCCATTTTCAATTCACCTCCTCGTCTGAACTCTCTCATTGTCGTCAATAATGGGGAAAACCTCAAAGGATCAATTAATTAAAGTTGCAATTCATTTGGTCGTCGAGAGACGAAATTTACAAAAATTAAAAACCATCAACTATATATCACTACGTGATGAATATGATCGAGAGACGACATTTACAAAAACTTAAAATTCTATTATATTTATTATGATGTATTAAATTTCAACTCTTTTACTATGATGAATAAAAATACAAAGTACAAGTATTTTAACATTTAGTATTTTGTGAGACTGATCGATAATATGGTTGATGTCCTGTATTTTTACAAGATAACATTATTACTCCTTGCATTTTAGGTTACTAGTTTTAATCAAGAAAATTCTTGTCAACTCATATCTTTTTACTCCCATGAAACTATATACTAGTATAAAAAGTTAACTCCTACTTTAAATGTGCATGATCTGTTGGGTTTTTTCTTTATTTTTTTGACCCATGAGGAAAGCCCAACTTTTGAGTCCGTTAAAAGTCTTGTTTAGACTTTCTATTTTGTGAGCTAATAATAAAAATGGGTCTGCCATCTATCGAAAATATAATGACAGAATGAGAGCAACAGATTGAGAGAACAAGTCACAAAAACATGAGTTGAACTGCTCATCCCGTTTTTTCAGTACACAGCAGCAGAGAAGTTCCTTTTCCTGGAGATTGAACCGTTGGATTGTCGCGATTTTTGGAAAGCAGCTACACAACATCTGAGCCAACATTCTGGACGGTGTAGATCGAGTTTTGAGGTCCGGGGGTCGGGTTTCGTTGGTCTGGACAGTAGCTATTTTTCTGGTGATATTTTCTTATCTTGGCTCTACTTTGATTCCATACACCTTGATGTGCTTAGTTTCAAGGATATGATGATTTTGTATGCCTCTAGTATTATCTATAGAAGATTTTGTACTGCTCCTTTGATGATGATAGTGGATTTAAGCGGCCAAAATGGTCCCATGATTTTTCCCTAGTTTATGGGTTTTCCACGCTAAAATTACGGTGTCTTTGTGTTGTTGTGTGCTTACTGTTTTAGCTCAATATCTTGGTGCATAGCAGTGGTATTGTGTGTTTTCTAATTGCATTAAGAACACCCTATTTGTTTGCATCCTCAAAGGTTCATTCAAGTTGGAAAAGTTTAACCAAACGGAAATTAATTCCGCATTTTATTATTTACCGTTTGTGGATGTTTTTCCCATCAAATTGGTATCAGAGCCGAGTTCTTTTGTATTGGGTTAGACTTGTTTGAATGATGGAAGCTAACACAAGTAGGATGATCAATTTGAATGGTTCTAATTATCATGTTTGGAAAGGCAAGATGGAAGACCTTTATGTGAAGGATTATTATTTGCCTGTGTTTACTACTGATAAACCTGAGAGTAAAACATATGCAGAGTAGAATATTTTGCATAGACAGGTTTGCGGGTATATTCTCCAATGGGTTCATGATAATGTTTTGAACCATATTAGCGGGGAGACCCATGCTCGCACTCTGTGGAACAAGCTTGAACAGTTGTATGCTAGAAAGACCGAGAAGCACAAATTTTTCTTAATAAAACAGATGATGAGCTTGAAATACCATGATGGAACTCCTGTCACTGATCATTTGAATTCTTTTCAGGGAATCATAAATCAACTTGCAGGAATGAGTATCAAGTTTGAAGATGAGATACAAGGTTTGTGGCTCCTTGGCACTTTACCGGACTCATGGGAGACTTTGAGGACATCATTGTCCAACTCTGCACCAGATGGTATTATCACCATGGAATTAGCTAAAGGCAGTATTTTAAATGAAGAGATGAGAAGAAAGTCACAGGGTTACTCTTCACATTGTGATCTCTTAGTTACATAAGGCAGGGGGAGAAGTCAAAGTAGAGGTCCAGGTAACAAAGGGAAGCATTGAAGTAAATCCAAAGGAAATTTTGCTGATTTTGAGTGTTATCATTGTGGTAGAAAAGGCACACAATACGATTTTGCAGGGAGTTATAAAAGGAGAAGAAGAAGAGCGATTACAGCAATCAAAAGAACCATAAGAAAGATGAGAGTGATAATGGAAATGCTGAAGTTAACTCTACTACCGAAGAGTTTCTTATTTGTTGTGATCTTGATATGATCAACATTGCACATGATGATTTGAGCTGGGTTGTTGATAGTGGTGCTACGTGTCATGTAACATCACAGAGGGATTTTTATTCATCTTACACTCCAGGTAACTTTGGAAATGTTAGGATGGGTAATAATGGACTATCAAAGATTACAGGCATCGGAGATATTTGTTTGAAGTTTGACACCGGGATAAAGCTTGTTTTACATAATGTAAAACATGTTCCAGATATGAGACTTAATTTGATCTTCGCGGGCTTACTTGATGATGATGGTTACAACAACAACTTTGGTAAGGGAATATGGAAGCTCACTCGTGGTTCTTTGATCGTGGCTAGAGGTAAAAGATGCTCAAACTTGTACATGACACATCCGAAGATTTTCAAGGATAGGGTCAATGTTGTGGTGAATACTTACATGACTGATTTATGGCATAAGAGACTTGGTCACATAAGTGAAAAGGGGATGTCTCTTTTGTTGAAGAGAAATGTGTTACCGGGTGTGCATGATATTCATCTAAAGAAGTGTTCTCACTGTTTGGCAGGTAAACAGAACAGGGTTTCCTTTAACAGCAATCCTCCTTCCAGGAAGGAAAATATACTTGATCTGGTGCATTCTGATGTTTGTGGTCCTATGAAGAAGACTATGACACTTGGTGGCTGCTCCTACTTTGTCACATTCATTGATGATCACTTCAGAAAGGTATGGGTTTATACCTTGAAATCTAAAGATCAAGTATTTGAAATGTTTAAGCAGTTTCATGCCTCAGTTGAGAGACAGACTGGGAAGAAGCTCAAGTGTATTCGGACAGATAATGGAGGTGAATACATTGGCCCATTTGATGCTTATTGTAGATATCACGGTATTCGACAATAAAAGAGTCCTCCCAAGACACCACAGTTGAACGGATTAACAGAGCGGATGAACAGAACTTTGATGGAGCGTGTCAGATGTTTGTTGTCACATGCAAGGCTGCCAAGTTCATTCTGGGGAGAAGCTTTGAATACAGCGGTACATGTTATTAATCTAACTCCTTGTGTTCCTTTGTCTTTTGATGTACCTGACAGGGTTTGGAGTGGCAAAGATGTTTCTTACCGCCACTTAAGGGTCTTTGGATGCAAAGTTTTTGTGCACATTCCTAAAGATGAAAGGTCAAAGCTTGATGTGAATTCCAAACCATGTGTTTTCTTGGGTTATGGCCAAGATGAGTTTGGTTACAGATTATATGATCCAGTGCACAAGAAACTTACTCGAAACCTAGATGTTGTGTTTGTTGAAGATCAGACCCTGAAAGATGTTGAGAAGAATGAGACAGTTCCTCAACATAATGATGATGTTACTGATTTGGATCCAGTGCCTCCTCAGCATGTAGAACCACCTCTTGATGATGATGTTCAGAATGATGAACAACACGATACTGATGATATTGATGCTCCTGAACAGCCAGAGGTGGATGAAGAATTTCATTCAGAGATACCGGTACCAGACGTGCCACCATTTGTCCCACTTAGGCGGTCTACAAGAGATCGTCATCCTTCCACTCGTTTTTCAGCTAATGAGTATGTCTTACTCACTTATGGGGGAGAGCCTGAGTGTTATGCAGAGGCCATGGAAGATGAGCACAAAAGGGAGTGGGTTGAAGCCATGCAAGATGAGATGAATTCCTTACATGAGAATAATACTTTTGAGTTGGTGAAGTTGCCTAAAGGCAAGAGAGCTTTGAACAACAAGTGGGTCTACAAAGTGAAGACCGAAGAGCACACCTCAAAACCTAGGTACAAAGCTAGGTTGGTGGTCAAAGGGTTCAGTCAGAGAAAGGGTATTGATTTTGATGAGATTTTCTCTCGAGTCGTGAAGATGGGATCTATTCGTGTTGTTCTTGGTTTGGCAGTCAGCCTTGATCTTGAGGTTGAACAGATGGATGTCAAAACTGCTTTTCTTCATGGTGACTTGGATAAAGAAATCTACATGGAGTAACCTGAAGGTTTTCAGGTTAAGGGAAAAGAATGTTATGTGTGTAGACTTCAAAAGAGTCTTTATGGGTTGAAGCAAGCACCAAGACAGTGGTACAAGAAGTTTGAGTCAGTTATGGGGGAGCAAAACTACCGAAAGACTACTTCAAACCATTGTGTTTTCTTTCAGAGTTGATGACATGTTAATTGTTGGCAAGAATGCAGAAAGAATTACTCAACTGAAGATACAATTGAGCAAACCTTTTGCTATGAAAGACTTGGGGCCATCAAAACAAATTCTTGGCATTCGGATCACTCGAGATAGAGCTTTGAAGAAGCTACACATGTCACAGGAGCAATACATCGAGAAGGTGCTTCGCAAATTTAACATTGATAAAGCTAAAGAGGTTAGTTCTCCTCTTACTACCAACTTCAGGTTGACAGATAAAGATTATCCATCTTCTGAGAAGAAGATTGAAGAGATGGATAGAGTCCTTTATGCCTCAGCCGTAGGGAGCTTCATGTATGCTATGGTGTGCACACGGCCTGATATTGCTCATGCAGTAGGTGTTGTTAATCATTTTCTGTCAAACCCAGGTAAGAAGCATTGGGAAGCAGTGAAGTGGATTCTCAGATATCTACGTGGAACTTCCAAATTGGGTATAACATTTGGAAATGAGAAGCCAATACTTGTTGGTTATACTGATTCTGATATGGCAGGAAATAAGGATAACTTGAAATTCACTTCTCGATATTTGATGACTTTTGCAGGGGGAGATGTGTCATGGCAATCGAGACTGCAAAAGTGTGTGGTTTTATCCACCACCGAGGCTGAGTATGTGGCTGCAACAGAAGCGTGCAAGGAGCTATTATGGCTCAAAAGATTTATGCAAGAGATTGGATTTATGCAACAGCGCTACGTGGTTCTTTGTGATAATCAAAGTACTATTCACCTTGCTAAAAATTCTGTTTCACAAACGAACCAAACATATTGATGTGAGGTATCATTGGATTAGAGATGCATTTGAAGACAAACTGTTTGAACTTGATAAAGTTCATACCGATGATAATGGTGCCGATGTTGACACAGGTCTAGCAATGGAAAAGTTGAAGATATGTTGCTCCATCACCGGTATGGCGAACTCTTCCTCATAAGTCAAAAGGGGGGAGATTTGTTGGGTTTTTTCTTAATTTTTTTGACCCATGAGGAAATCCCAACTCTTGAGCCCATTAAAAGTCTTCTTTAGACTTTCTATTTTGGGAGCTAATAATAAAAACGGATCTGCCATCTATCAAAAATATAATGACAGAATGAGAACAACAGATTGAGAGAACAAGTCACAAAAACATGAGCTGAACTGCTCATCCCGTTTTTCCAGTACACAGCAGCAGAGAAGTTCCTTTTCCCAAAGATTGAACTATTGGATCGTCGTAATTTTTGGACAGCAGCTACACAGCATCTGAGCCAACATTCTGGACGGTGGAGATCGGGTTTTGAGGTCCGGAGGTCGGGTTCCGTTGGTCTGGACAGTAGCTATTTTTCTGGTGATATTTTTCTTATCTTGGCTCTACTTTGATTCCATACACCTTGATGTGCTTAGTTCCAAGGATATGATGATTTTGTATGCCTCTAGTATTATCTAGAGAAGACTTTGTACTGATTTTTTGATGATGATAGTGGATTTAAGCGGCCAAAATGGTTCCGTGGTTTTTCCCTAGTTTATGGGTTCTCCACGCTAAAATTCCGGTGTCTTTGTGTTGTTGTGTGCTTACTGTTTTAGCTCAATATCTTGGTGCATAGCAGTGGTATTGTGTGTGTTCTGATTGCATAAAGAACACCCTATTTGTTTGCATCCTCAAAGGTTCATTCAAGTTGGGAAAGTTTAGCCAAACGGAAATTAATTTCGCATTTTATTAGTTACCGTTTGTGGTTGTTTTTTCCAACATGATCTGACTCCTTTATTGTTAAAATTTTCAATGATTGATCTAATATAATAATCTAATATAATAAAACTCATAACACAAAGATGTCGTACATGATATGAGCAAGAGTGACTTCTTGAGTCAATTATCACGCTCTTAACTTCATTCATATGATGAGTTACAATTTACAACTGCTATTAAATACTTGTAGAATATATTTGAGTACGTATATTACATGTATTATATGTCATGTAATAATTGATAAGCATGCATTCAATATTATAGTGACACATCCAATAAACTTTGGCAACGAACGGCTGGTGCGAAATCAGATCGAAGAAGCCTAACGAGATTGAATAAGCGAGATGCGAAGTCCTGTACGAAATCCGGTGCTAAAACGTCCGCGAAGACCTATGCCAAGGTCTGGTGCGAAGCTTGTGCGATGGCGAGAAGCGCATAAAGGTTATAAAAGCCCGGTTGTACCGTGCGCACGGTCAGCTGGGTTGTACGATGTAATTTACCTATGGAGTACTACGTGTTTATTTAAACCTAATTTATCATACTCCGACCTCCGTGTACGATTCTCTTCCGGCCTAAAATGAATAGAAGCTACATTGAAAGAAAAATTAATTATTTCAAGACGTTTTTTACGTTTTTCCGTTGCTATTTAAGGACGTATGAAAAAGTTAAATAGTGAAGTTTCCTGAATTGGTAGGAAATACAAAAAGTTATGATATATATCCCCTAAATGCAGGGGCGGAACTAGTAAAGGGCTTGGAGGGGCTTGAGCCCCTGAAATTTTTATATTAAATATATATATATATATATATATATATATTAAATATAGAATTGTAAATTGTAAATATTTATAAAAATATGTGTGGTATACATTAATAACGACTATGTTAATAAAAAGATATTGTAGCAGCATGGAGGTGGCATTGCGTTTGTGTGTTGTGTTATGAAAAGGTCAAGGGTTCAAATCTCATCTTTGTTATTTTTATATTTTGCTTTATTTGTGTCTTTTTTAAGCTCTAAATTAATTTAAAATGGCTTTAAATAGTTCATTTAGTTCTCAAGAACATGGGTAGGAATCACAATTTTGCTATGGTAGCTTTCTCATCAAATCGACACATCATATTTAATTTCTTGCTTTTTGGTTTCATAAAAAATCTCATTTGATCTTGTATGTAGTTAAAATTGTGATTTCTCAGTTTACTTTTCGAGATGTTATTTTCTAGAATAATAATACGGCAATAATACTAAAACTACAACACTTTCTCAAAATATGACTTAAAAACTAAAAAGTCAATTATATGACCACCAGGTACTGTTCATGGCCTGCGCACAACCGAAATATTACCAGAAATGACTTCATTGCCCTGGCATTTATGTCTTCCGCGGTCCGGACGGTTTCAACCAAAAAGGATGTATACTATGAAACATTGATGCAAGTATATTGATTTGGAATGAACATTGATTTGTGTAAGATTGAGTTTGGGCAATAATTAACCTATATATGTTGTGTTGTTTGAGTAAGAGCAATAATTGTATGATGGGGTAGATGAAAAACAGGCGTGTAGAAATTTGAAAAAATAAAGGACAATATATGTGATGTAATAAGGGCCATGTTTTATAAGAAGCAGAAGGTATGTTCACAAATATTGAGGGCATTAACTGTACTCATACGAATGCAGGGCATTAAAAGGCACAAGCTTACATAGTAACATAATGGAATGTATGTTCACAAATATGATTCCGGTGTTTCCTGCGGTTATGCGAATGCAGTTATATTTCCGACGGTTACATACTACTAATTTATCACGTGAGATGCCTTTGGTATTAATTAAATAGAGGGATAGTATTGGTATTAAAATATATGTTCAAACACACGTGCATGGTCATGACCATGTGCGGTCATACATTAGGAGTAATAAGCAACTAGTCATAGAATTGTCATGACACTATGTTTTTGTGATACGAGGGATAAATTTCTCTAACACATATGTGTAGTATATTGTAAACGGTGGACGCAACATCTTACGAAGACCTTCGCTTTCCCATTAAGTGCCCCTCCAAGGTCCCCGAGCTGGTTCCGCCACTGCTTTTACAGTAACTTCAGTTAACACATTCAAAAAAGTAACTTCAACCTTACTTTTTCTTATTATTATACAATTCAACGCGCGGAATGAAAAATTACGTGTTTAATGAAAAAGTTGGTTGATAAGACTGAAAAGCCGAAAAATATGGTTACCAAATCGAGTCTATATTTTTAGAATATTGATGTGTTTTCATTGATTACTAGTGTTATGAATTTTTTATTATTGTGCACAACAATTAACCTTATTTTTAATTTTACATATTGTTTTTTATTATCATATTTTACATATCGTTATATACGAGTAGTTAATAACATACTAAATTTAAAATGTTGATTGGGTTTTTTGGGTATTGACCGGATTGACGGGTCATTCTTTCGAATGGCTTCCTAGTCCGGTTTAAAACCCTTCAAAGATTTTGAACATTTAAATTATTTCGCCCTTGACAATGAATCTCAATTTCGATCCTGATCGGATCTTGGAGGCCCTCTAACAATTAGTCAATTGCTGTTTTGACTTAACAATTAGAAGCATACACCCCGTTGCAGGAGAGCAACAAAGAAATGCGGAGTCCGTTTCCATTTTCCCAATGTGCATATCTGAGAAGACGACGATCTCGGTGAAGCTCCGCAACAAGTATTTCACATGGAGGATAAGCTCAAAGACACCAGCAGCCCACCGGCTGCCGCCTTCTCAACCCCTCAGAAGGCAGCAGAGGCTCCATCTGCCGACCAACCCACTTCTCGGCGAAGGGGCGGAGGCCAGAAGCGGAAAGCAAGCGCCTTAAGCAGCGGTGGAACTTCGGCCCCTCTTTCTACTTCTTCAAAGCGTCAGGCTCGCGACAAGCCGCATGCAGTTCCTTTTCCTCCGATCCACAACGGTCCCTGCACCAGAGCTCGACAGCTGCCCGGCAACACCGCTTCCGTTGCTTCGCCATCAAATTCAGGTGTCAAGGGAGAGGCAGATGCGGCGCTTCTTCCAAGAGCAGAAGCAGGAGAGCTGCAGAAGGCCGAGGACGCGTCAATTGAAGCCAAAGAGGATTTAGAAGCAGTGGAGGCAAAACTTGAAGCCGAGTTTGAAGCAATTAGGTCTCGAGATGTTAATGTTCATGTGGTGCCGACTCATGCGGGTGAACCAGATTGTTTTTTTACCAACGCATAACTTCGTTTTTTCTGGGTTTATCACTTTATTGTGGTTAATTATCGAGAACTTTTCATTCCCTCTTTACCTGGAAAACCCCTCCCCCCTAGCGCTTGGTTGGGAACCTATAATTCAGATGTTATGAAAATGTAATCCTGGTTGTGAACAATTTGTTTTTTAAGATCTTTTTTCATATGCTTTCAGCTGTTTTTGAAAAGCTGGAATTTTGTTGCCTTTGACTATTCTCCTAACCGCTTAATTTTTTCTTTAAACTGTTTTCGATTCAGACTAAAAATTGAGCTTGCTATAAGATTTAAACAGTTCCCATACTAACTGATCTTATACTCCGTATGAGCTAATTTTTGTGCATCCAAGAATAGTTATTTTCAAACCACTTCTTATCAAACTTTATCCAAACAAAATCTGATTTTGATTGCAATCGTTTACAACAATAGTTGATTAATGATTTTTATCATTCCTTGTTAGTAAGAAAAAGGCTCATACTTTATCCAAGAGCTTATGCATATTGGTCCTCTATGACTCTACAGGCTGGTTTTCATGGACAAAAGTTCATTCATTGGAGGAGAAAACAATGCCGTCCTTCTTTAATGGGAAGTCTCCAAACAGGACTCCTGAAATGTACATGGAGATACGTAATTGGATTATGAAGAAGTATCATTTAGACCCCAACACTCGTGTTGAATTGAAGGATTTGTCAGAGATCTCATCTGCTTTGTTCGAAGCAAGGCAAGAGGTGATGGAGTTTCTGGACTACTGGGGATTGATCAATTACCACCCTTTCCCACAGCCTGAATCTGCCATGAATTTGGATACCAATGTCAAGGAAGCACGGAAGGCAGATTCTTTATTGGACAAGTTGTTCCGTTTTGAATCAGAGGAAACATGGACACCAGTTGTCCCCAAGGAAAGTATGACTGCACAGTCTCTAACATCTGGCCTATTTCCCGAGTCTACTTTGATGGAAGAATTGGTGAAGTCTGAGGGACCTTCAGTTGAGTACCATTGTAACTCATGCTCAGCCGATTGCTCCCGGAAACGTTACCATTGCCAGAAACAGGTATGATCACTGTAAATCTTTTTTCGCGACTTTTGTCGTTGTACATTCACATTTTTATCTTGTAGAAGGATCGCATTATCTCAAATAAGGGTGGCTTAAATTCCTTTTATAGATATATTCTAGTGCAGATTACTAGCATAGAACTATGTTCTATGTGCTTTTGCTATTTTACTTCTCACCCTCTTATGGGGCAAGGAAATTCATTAGTGTTACCTCGTATGGTTCTGTAGTTGTATCAAAGTATTCCACTTCTGTTCACACGATTTTTAGATCATTCATGTTTTTATTTTGGAATTTCAGTTTGTCCATTTTTGGTGCATGGATATGGTCTTTTGACCTTTTGGTCTCTCTGGTAACTTATCTGGTGAAAATCAACTTGAAAAAGTCACAAAAAAATCGTGTGACAAAAGTAAAAGGAGCAAAAGATGGGGACAAAATTTAGGGAGTGGCGTAATCATCCAGGGACCAAAAGTGGAATATCTTCTTTGTAGTTTCATTATAAATAATTCACTTCCATTATTCCCCATTGTGAGTGATCTTGGCTTATGAGCGATGTTTCTCAAAAGTTGGCTCTTTTCAATGTTCTGATTCTATATTTTTGCTATACAGGCTGATTTTGATTTATGCACAGAATGCTTCAACAATGGAAAATTTGGCCCTGATATGACTCCCTCAGATTTCATCCTAATGGAGCCTGCTGAAGTTGGTGGTGCAAGCAGTGGGAAGTGGACTGATCAGGAAACTCTCCTCCTTCTGGAAGCATTAGAATTGTATAAAGAAAACTGGAATGAGATTGCTGAGCATGTTGCAACAAAGACAAAAGCACAGTGCATCTTGCATTTTGTTGAAATGCCGATCGAGGATATGTTCTTGGATGGAGATACTGAGATTGATAACATTTTTAATATTGAAGGCATTTCAGTTAATGATGACAGTTCTGCTTCTAAAGGCGGGCTTGAGGGATCAGAGAATAAGGATGTTGGAAATGAGAATCAGCCTTCATCATCCTCAATTGGAACCCCAAAGCAGGATGATGTAAATGATTCAAATGATGAAGAAAAAAATGGGGAGAATTGTGCACTTGAGGCTCTCAGGGAAGCGTTTGTAGCTACTGGCTACTTTCCTTCACCTGGTGAACATGTTTCATTTGCGGAAGCTGGCAATCCTGTAATGGCATTGGTATGATAGTTTTATTTTTCTTTCAATCTTTCTTGAGGCGGACTACCAACTCTGTTATATTATTTCTATTTGAAAAGTTAAAACTTGTAAGGAAGTCAAAATTTTAAAACAATAAAATTCAACTCCAACCTGAGTTCCTTGGAAGGATATCTGATACCTTAATCTGCAAAAGATGACTTCTGTCCACCTTTTGAACATTCAAGACAATTTTCTTGTGATTATAGAGTAGGAAATTGCAATTCCATTTTGTATGATGCTATGATAAAAGAGAGGCATTTGGAAATTTCCTTTATATCAGCAAGGTACAAAAGCCCTGACGAAATGCGTTTGTGCACATTGAGTCTAGATCATTTTTTACAGATGCTCAAACCAAACAATGGAACCTGTTTTAAGAGTCTCATAAATCTGCTTTTCAACTCAGGCAGCTTTCCTGGTAAAGTTGGTGGAATCTAATGTAACTACTGCTTCAGTGCGTTGCTCTTTAAGAGCTGTTTCTGGTGAAGAATTAGCTGCCAGGCATTGTTTTATTCTAGAAGATCCTCCAGATGATAATAAACCATCCATCGCTGATAGGTTGTGTACCTTTTTCTAAGCATCTATTAATTATCTAGCTAGTAATGAATGAATATTGGAGAATGATGTTAAAAAAATGTGCAGAGCTGTCATTGATGAACAGATTGAGCCTGAAGTACAACAGGATAAGCCTGCCTCAGTAACTGGTAACATTGACTTGCCTGTTGAACAGAGTAAGGATAGCAAGGAAGTAAAAGAGGATGATGAAAAAAGAGAAGCCACAGAGAAGAAGAAACAAAGAGAATCCGCGGAGAGCAGTTTAAATGGTCTAGGAGAAGAAACCCGTTCTCCTCATTGTGAACATTCAGAAAAATCTGAAGCCATAGGGGAATCAAATGGAAAGGTTAAATCACTTCATGTAAACGAAGGACATGAAGAAGTACCTAGTACTGCTGAAGGTTTAGATTCTCTAAAATCAAAAGTGGAGTCTCCTTCCAGTTCAACCAAAGAGTGTGATGATGTGGTGTCAAAGGACATACCTTCTCATTCTGTAGATTCTCCAAAAGACGAGGATATGATGCCTGCCACAGAAAAGAGGGACCCCGAGCAATCCATTTCAGTAGTTGATAACAAAGCTAAATCAACAGGTTCTCACCTATTACAATCCAACCATTGATTATGTGCTCTCAAAGACAAGATTATCATTAACTGAGATGTGTATATCTTCACCCTTGTAGATGAAGAAAAAGACCACAAGACCGAGAAAGAAGACACTTTAAATGCCAAAATTAATTTGGATGTAGTTAAGATTAAGCATGCTGCTGTCACTGCTTTGTCAGCTGCAGCAGTGAAAGCAAAGTTTCTAGCTGATCAAGAAGAAGATCAGATTCGGAAGCTTGCTTCATCAGTTATAGAAAAACAGGTAATGCTTATTGTTAATCTACCATTCTTTAATTTGTCACATTATGTTATACTAGTTTAGTTTGATGAGTTGAATTAAGTTGGGTCTAAATTAGAACAGAAGTTCAAATTCGTCTACTGAGTACTGAAAAGCTCCTAGTAAAATTATGCCAGTCGAGGAAACTAGAAGCAGCTTGCCTGAGTGATAAAGTCAAATGATTTTAAGTTATCTTTATTTGTATTTTATATTTTACGAAGTGTATCTTCACAATGGATCCCTTCCTTAAATCAGGAGTCGGCGAAAGCGTGTTGCCACATTGTGATTAAGGGTCTTTTTGGGTGGTGGGTTTGGAGGGTGATGGAGTATATGGGTTCGAATCCACAGCCCACATACTCACAAGACACTAGAACAAGCCCAATAGAGCATGAGGCCCAAAGACCAGTCATCCGCCCATTGTCTGGGTCTTCGTACAGCCAAGGGCACCAACTCGGACAAACAATGACATTTCCATCCGGGGACCCCTCGTCCGGACAAGGGCACACGCCCCTCGACTCAGCACATTCCAGATATTGGAAAGCACCACATGCTCGTTACTCACACATTGCATGTTTCCCATGGACTAGCTTACACGTGTATGTGCATTTAATGCACCTAACATTTATGACTAGTATAAATAACCCCATTTTGAACTGATGCAACGGTTCGATTGCCATTTACTATCAAATATCTTTCTCCCTTCAATTAGCTTTGTCTTCTCTCTATGTTATCGTTAGTGGTATTTTGGTATAGCTATTAAAGGGCAAGGCTTTGAAGGGGTTAACCTATATCTTGAATCTTAATATACATTAAGATTTTATGAAAATTGAAAGATTATACTATAATACGTAGGGAAGCCTTGGCACACTGTTTGATCGAGGTCATGGGTTCAAGGATTGGGAGCGTCCTCTAGTAATAATGGCAAGCAAGGCTTGCCCTTTATACACCCTTGTGGTGGGACTCTTCCCTAAACCCCCGTCTTGTGAGGACGTAATATGCACCGACTACCCTTTTGAAAGATTAGTATAATATATGATTGTGTAACATTTCAATTATTATTTTTGTTTGCAGATAAATCCTATTTATAAAGATGTAGACCATGCCCTCCAGATCTTTCCGCTCCAACCCCCTCTAGAAACCACATCCTATCAAGCCTTTAGTGTATTTTTGGGCATAAGTTCCTACAGGGAGCAGGCTTTAGACGGCTCAATTTTTGCCATGACAAATAGAATATTTCTAAAAGCGATTAAAGAGTATTTGAATTATTGTATCATGACGTACTTTTTTATCCCTTTAAATTTTATAAATCTCAAATACTACCTCCGTCCCCCTAAGAATGGAACAAAAGGGTGTGATGCGGTTTTGAATAAGTGGAATTGAGTGGTTGATATTGAATTGGTAAAGTTTTAATAAAGTAAAAATGAATTGTGACCACCCAAATATCACCAAATATAGTACGTGATAAACTTAAGGGGACAAGCGAAAAAAGTAAAACGGGACAAAATTAGTGGGACGAAGAGAGTATATGCTTGACCCTCCAAAGCAGTACCCACCCAGACCCAACTCCCAAACTGACCCTTAGGGTATCGGAAGTTAGGTTTTGAAGGGGGAGATTGAAGAGGGTTTATGCTCCTTACTTTCTTTTTTGGGAGTTTAAAAAATTGGATAGGATGGTTTTTAAGAGTTCTTGTAATCCTCCAAAACCCTTCAAATGTTCAATTGTTTAGTTCCCCCAAATGGAAGGTTTTTGAAGGATAACAAATTAAATGGTAATTTTAGCTCAATTTAAAATGAATATAAGTGAAACTGTTTCAATGAGTATACATCTGAAGCAATATTTAATTATAATTCTTCTGTAGCCCCTCTCTTTCCAAATTTGTAACTCCTAAAGCAATGAATGATTTCTTTCACTTCCCCTTCCCATTCCCCTATCACGCCTAAACTTCAAAGCCTCCCCCCCCCCCCCCCCCCCCAAATCCCAAACATACCCTTAGGTTCTCTGGAAGGCTTAGTCTAGTTTATTTTAAGTCACTTTACAATAGTCTATGTTGCTTGGAAACGTGAAAATCATGAGGAAACGTCATCTTTTACTCGAAAAACAACTGTTTGGAGAGTTTCCAACGAATTTCCGAAACAGAAATGTACTCTTTCCCGAGAGTTTCAGTACTACATAGACAACAGTCTATTTTTATAAGTGCAATTAGATTGGCTTTAAATTAGAACAAGAAGTTCAGATTCGCGTACTGAGAACTGAAAAGCTCGTAGTAAACTTGTATCTGTAGAAGAAACTAGAAACAACATGCCTGAGTGATAAAGTCAAATAATTTCAACTAATTTTTATTTCTTTGTTAACTATTCATATTTACAAAATGCATCATCCAATGGATACCTTCCTTAAATCAGTTGTATGCAAAAGGGCATTGCCACATGAGAAGACTTTGGATGGCGTAGTGAATAGAAGGTGTTTAAAAAACAAATAAAAGGTGTTTGAAATATTTTTCGGAGTATAATTTTTATAACATCTATATATATATATATGTGTGTGTGTGTATCAAAATATAGGCTAAACCCTCCAAAGCCTTCTCTTCTAAATCCATCCATCCAAACCGTGAATTCTTTCATGTTCCTTTACGAGTAAAAACCCGGGTCTTGCTTTGGTACAAGCAAGGATCTTGCTTTGGTACAAGCAAGGGTCTTGCTTTGGTACAAGCAAGCCCGATTAATTCCATTTTGCTAAATTGATATGTTATTTTTGTTCATACTTCTTCCTACATAAGCGTGGTCATGGTTTTTGCTTATTTTTCAGTTACATAAGCTGGAGACCAAGTTGACCTTCTACAGTGAAATAGAGAGCACCTTAGTGAGAGTTAGAGAACAGTTGGATAGGTCGAAACAGAAACTTTTCCATGAGAGAGCACATATAATCGCAACCCGGTTAGGCATGTCTTCAACAACTTCAGCTCATCCTATATCACAGCCATTGCCTGTGACAGCACCCAGGCCTTTAACTGGCATGAGCTCTACAAGGCCACCATTTTCAAGACCCATGATGATGTCAATGGCTGCTCCCAGCTCATTTATCCCCACAGCAGTTGCAGGAAGTTCATTACAACCTCCAAGCACCGAGAATGCCTCGTCTGTAGGGAATAAGTAACCTTTTTTGCTCCAGAGCAGCATTTTGTTTTCTATTTCTTGAGACACCCCCGGGAAACAGTTTCAGTATCAAGTAAGCCTTTCTTTATGTTTATATATTCATCTTCCATCGTAAAAAAGTGTCATGTTTTGAACACTTATTGTCCCAAATGTAGAGTCAAATTTGATCAAACAAAGCTAAATATTCACGTGAATACTACCTCCATACCAAAATTTATTTCTCGTTCGCAATTCCTAAACTCACTCTTAATATCTCATTTTATATATCAAACTTTTATCATCTGCTAATTCTGTTTTTGCGGCTGAATAGAACTTTGAGTGTGGTTTCTAATATGTAAGTTTTATTTTCCAGTACTAATTTGAGTATTATCACTGAACATAATAAATCGAAACATGACCTTCTTTTTGGGACATAGGGAGTTTGTAGTTTGCCAAGCAAGTTACTCTGTACATACTATATAAGTATGCCTAATGGCTAACACTTTATGGCTATCTTAACAAAATTCAAAAGTTGTACATAGTTGAAACATGACCTCTTTTTGGATGGAGGCAGTATCCTTTCAGTGTTTTAGTCAATAAGGCTTGAAGTTTTTGTGTTTATTTATTTATTTATTTATTTATTTATTTATTTATTTATTTATTTATTTATTTATTTATTTATCTATTATACATTAGATTAACTCTGATAGTAATTATATTTAAGTCTTTAATTTGCACTTTACGTTTTACAGATTCTTTGTGTGCTTCTCAACAGCCACGGTTGGCCAGGAAGGTATCTGCAGTGAAAGGCAGCAAGATATTTATTTAGCATGAACTAATAGTTATTATAATTAGAACTTTTTAAGCTTTAGCAGGTAGCACCGTAGCAGCTTACATATAATTTTTTTAGGAGCCGGCATCATGGAATAGGCCTCCTCTCAGTTCTTCTATAACTGTTTTCAGTGGCACTTGGTGTAGTAAAATCACTTGTTTATTGTAGATTTGTAGTGTCTAGTTTCATGTATGCTTCAAGTACATGTAAAACTGTAAGCCTTTCAAATGAACATTTTTCTTCATAATACCATTTGCTTTGGGCTCTTGTTAACCTGGCGCTGTTTTTTGTCACTTTCCTTGAGAATAATTAAAGTTAGCAACTAGGGCCTTGTATGGAAAACATTTTTTCTTGGAAAGCTTTTTACTTTTTGAATCTTTTTAAGCTTATTTACCACATCAAAGAGCCAATTCAAGAGCTTGGAGAACAGCCCATCATATTAAGCTAAATTAATTCAAAATAGAGAATGAAGCTTATTGGATTGGTTTTTTGTACGGCTGGATGCTGTTCTCAGACCGGGCTGGACTTAAAAGGGTTTTTTTACTTGAACCAAAATTGGCCTGAAGCGGTTCAAATTGACCCTGGATTTGGTTCCATATATGTACCAATGTGTGTGGTTGTGTGTATAGAACATTATTATCATTTAATATTGTGTATTTGTAAAAACATACATAGTATATTATTATATAGTGTAGCAATATAAGTAAATTCTGCTTGTATAAGTTATATTACGTATAATATTTTGGCATAAAATATAGGGAAAAAGATCAAATAAGTTCTTTTATTATTTCAAAGACTGCACCCCACATTTTACATTTTGGGAATTGGACTTTGCACCCCACATATTGAGAGATATTTGACTTTGCATTCCATTTTGAAAAACTTTGATTTTGCACCCCAACACATGACATTTTGTGAAGAAAATTTTCTAAATGGGGTGCAAAGTCAAAGGATTTTTATGTGGAATGGGTTGCAAAGTCAAAGTTTTTTGAAAAAGGGGTGTAAAGTTTAATATCACCTAAAAAGTGGGGTGCAAAGTCAAATTGTCCTTTTCAAATTCATTACTTAAGCCTTTGTACTAAAAAACATCATAAGTACGCCTACTTTAACAAATTGATCAATTTGACCATTTAATCATGTTTTGACATGTAATAGCAGATTTTTAATATTTAAAAACTAAAAATCTTTTTTAAATATTGAAGAAATATTTATAAATATCGTGATTTTTTTTCCAGAATATCAAAATCGATATTTTTCAATTTTTTATTTCAATTTTATGATTTTTAATTTTTTATTTTAACGTTTTTAAATTTTTTTTATCTAGTTTTACATTTATACTATTTTTATATTATTATTACATTATTTTTTCAAATTTTAATGAATTTTGTATGACTTATCAATATTCCTAATTTAATTTAAAAAAAAATAACCTGCTATAGCAGGTCAATTGACTTGATTGTTGTATTCTAAAAGCAAGCATATCATATGATGTTTTTTTAATTAGAATGACTTAAGTGATAGATTGAAAATAATAGAAGAGTCTACTTGTCCGTTTTTCCTAAAATTGTAATAAAATTACATATGCACTACACGAACTTTGATATTACATTGATAGTAAAGTTTGCCACGTTTTTATACATGACTTTTATTTGAGTAATTTTTAGTAACAATCTCTCAAATTTATGAATTTGTTCATTTCTGTGACTGCATTTAGTAATGATATAAGTTTAAAATAATAGACTTTCTATACAATTATTTAAGACATTATTGTTAGTATTGTTAGTTTATTGTGTAACTTTTTTTAAATTATTAAATGCTTTATTAATACATTTTATACATTATTGTTAGTATTGTTTATTTAATTTATATTTAATTTATTGCAAATACATTTTATATTATCAACACAATCGAATAGTTTTTTGGTAAACACAATAGATGTTCATTCCTTTATGAGACTTTTACAAACTAAACGAATTTGTTTTTAACTAATTTATATTTGGGCAACAAGGCTCGATAATTCAAGAATGTTGTAATATACTCCACGAAAGAAATACAGTGTGTTAGATATGACGAAAGAAGCACGACATACCTAAAGAGTTCAACAACCCTTTCTACATATAATTATAAGTAGCTAGGGTAAGTTGATATATTATAGGGAAAATAATTTGAATATCTCAAACTTAATACTCCGTATAAAAAGTTATATTAGCATCATGATCACATATTTTTCACAAATGTAATTTAATGGTGTTAAATACATAATTTAAAATACACAAAATATTTATGTGGATGCAATTAAAATTAAATCATTTATTTGACAAATGAAATTTTAAAATGTTAATTGCATTCTAACAAAGCTTAAAGTATTTTTAAATTATGTAATTATTCCAATAAATTTGTACTTGTAAAATAACATATAATCCTGATGCAAAAGTAACTTTTTATAAAAAGTTTGGGGTATGTATATTACAATACAAATTTGGGGTACTTATCTCACACCTTATTAAAGTTTGGTGTATTTAAATTATATCAAAATTTGTTTTGGTGTATACAATAAAAATATAAAATTTGTTTCAAAATAAATATAAAAAATGAATCTTTATGTGTTTTGGATAACAATGAATCAAACTTGATCAGCAAAGTTTTTTTTAATCTATAAGTTTTGCTGGTAACATTTTTTAATCGTAAAACGTCTTTTATATTAAAATCGAGAAACATACAAGACAATCTTCAGACAGATTTTACAGATCCAATCGTGAACCCTAGGAGTATACATAGAGTCAGACATCTCATACAAAGCAACATGACTCGTTAAATCTGAAACGAGCAAATGTAAGCCTAAAACGTCTGGAACTGAAACTATGTCTATCAAAAAAACTCCAAAAATCCAAACATCCAAATCAAACCTACTCGGACTGAAATAAAACCAAGTACTACTAAAAAGAAATTAAAATAATATTGAAATGAATTCTTTCAACAATACTCTTCCTGGTACGGATGTGGTTCCGGAGGAGGACGAGCTCTTGCAATGTGGGTGAATACTAACTGCACCACCGTCGGAGCGGTCAACCAAGGTTGCACGATCAAACCCCGATACAAACTCTCAGCCACAACCTGTTCATCCGCCAACGTTATCTACTCCGACGTAGTTGCAATCTCAAGCGTTAGACACTTAAAATCAATACAATCTGCCACTCCAACCCCATATTGATAGGGATGGCGTAAAACCTCAACCCCTACAAGCAGGGGATACGGCCGATGGGTTTAGAAGAGATGAGCCGTGATACGGAGCTCTCAGTTATTTAACCATAGTTTTGCTGGTAACATTGAAAAGGGGTTTATGTGTCTACATTTTATTGTAGATAACTAAGGTGCTGTTCTCTTCGTCTTATTCTTATTACTTATTGCTTATTCTTATTTTATTCATATCAAATCAGATCAGATCAGAAAAATTCAGATCAGATCAGAAAGATTCAGATCAGATCAGAAACATTCAGATCAGATCAGATCAAAAAGATTCAAATCAGATCAGAAGCATTCAGATCACAAACATTCAGATCAAATTGGAAACACTCTACTATTATTATTATTATTATTATTATTATTATTATTACTATTATTATTATTATTGTTGTTGTTGTTGTTTTTATTATTGTTGTTATTATTGTTGTTGTTGTTGTTATCATCATCATCATCATCATCATCATCATCATCACCACCACCATCATCATCATCATCATCATCATCATCATCATCATTATTATTATTATTATGATGATGATGATGATTATTATGATGATGATTATTATGATGATTATTATGATGATGATTATGATTATTATTATTATTATTATGAATATTATTATGATTATTATTATGATTATTATTATGATTATTATTATTATGATTATTATTATGATTATTATCATTATTATTATCATTATTATTATCATTATTATTATCATTATCATCATTATCATCATCATCATCATTATTATTATTATTTTATACTGGTTTAGAAAGTTAAGATCAGATCAGAATGATTCAGATCAGATCAGATCAGATCAGAAACATTAAGATCAGATCAGACAGATTCAGATCAGATCAGATCAGAAAGATTCAGATCAGATTAGAAAGATTCAGATTCAGATCAGATCAGAAAAATTCAGATCAGATCAGATCTTTAAAAATTCAGATCAGAAACATTCAGATCAAACGAAGAGAACAACTTCAAAGTATTGAGTAATTGATATACATGAACAATTCATATTTAAATTTTTAGGGTGAGAATATGAGATTTGCAATAATATAATGAAGAAATAATTAATGGGTATATATCTAGATAGATGACTACCTCAAAAAATGGAAAGAGGGACTATTAGCCTTAAGTTTAGGAGGAGATGTGTAAGGGGATGGAAAGACGGCTCCCTTGAATTTTCTTCTTTCTTGAAACTTTTATCATGCAACTTCTCTTTTCTCTTCTTCCTTGCTGCAGACTCTCCCCTGACCTTCTCCTAGAGGTGGTATATATCTTCAATTCTTCATCTCATCCACCCCCTTCATATATTATCCTTCCTTCTGTTTAATTTCTCCCTTAATTATTTTTTCTTGCATTATGATATTCCATATATATAGCTTCTCGATGAAATTCGATCAATCATGATATATATAATATAATCGTATAGATGTATATATATAGAAGTCAAACAATATCTGCAACTTTTGACGTCAATTTATGTAATAATACGGCAAATGCTTGTTTATTCTTGATGAAATTTTGAATGCATGTGCATGGTAAATTGGTAATAATTATATATAAATAATTATGGATATTTAATTAATATATTTTAGATTTCTTGTTACCATTATTGGGGTTCCATGACAGTCTCTTATTTTTATACTATAGTTTAATTATTAGTTCATATTTTTACCGGAATATATATTCATACACATCTTCATTGACTTATCAGGTATTAGTTTTTGGGAGATAGGCAGGGATGTCTTCCCCGCCGCCGTCTCAAGAATCTCTGCCACCACCCGCTCCACCATCTCCTGATAAACCATCTTCCCCTCCTCCACCGGATAGCTCATCGTCACCACCTCCTCCGCCGGATAATTCATCACCACCTCCCCCGCCAGATTCATCACCGCCGCCTTCACCAGATTCTGACAATAGCCCACCTCCACCTCCGAGCAACAACTCACCACCGCCGGGAAATAGCGACGCGAGTCCTCCCCCTCCACCGCTCTCACCACATTCCTCAAATGGGGATTCGTCGCCTCCGCCTCCGCCTCCGCCATCTCCGCCCCACTCTAAACCGCTTCCT